CCCCCCCCCCCCCCCCCTCCCCTTCATCCTCCCATGTCAAAGCTTACCCGAGCTCCGTTCCGATCTTCCTTTCTTGCCCCCCCGTTCCTCCTTTGGACCCTTGGCCTTGGTACTCTTTGTCGTAGACGCCACCGTAGAGACCGATGACTGGGAGCCGGATTTGGTCTTCCCCCTCTCGCGGAGCTGATTCCTGGCGCTCCTGCACATGGGACGGCGGCGGAAAAGAATGTCATCCATCACCGCAAAACATGGGCCCATAACGAACACGGATCCACGGGTGCCGTAATAATCAAGAGCCAGCATCCCAGCACGGCAGCACAATTATTCAGACCCAATGGAAGGTAATGCGGATCGCGCCGCCAATCAACGCATCGTCTCGACAGTGTAGAAAATTCCCCAACTAGAAGAAGTTACACGAAGTGTGTTGCTAGCTTTGTAATGGGCACCATCCTCGGGCGCCCGCCGTGTTTTGCACTCTTTCCTTTAGACGAAACATGGTCACGCATGGGCTAAAATTTGATCAGTCACGCCCGTCGACATCACCACCCTTACAAGTCACGCAGTAGTATGTTTCGCACACACATACATCACCGTTTTCCCCAGAAAAATAACACAGGAATAATAGATGTTCCGAGTTCCGAGAGGCACAGTGAATTATCGGAACATCCGGCAGGTTGCCATTTCTTCACATTTTTGGGAGAGATGTTTGCCCGCTTTCGGTCGCACGCTCATTGCAACGTGTAGCAGTGTTAAGCAGCAGCAGTCCCCGACACACGATGGTGTAGCAAGTGCTCATGTACCATTTCGTAGTAAGTACACAATTAGGTAGACATACGCGTTTGCTTGTTATGCTATTGCAAGACATTGTTCTGACTTTCCGATTTCTGTGATTCCCGAAAATACACCGATAGAACGTTCCGCCCAATCACAGCATCACAGCAGCACAGCAGCGCTTACTGACAGCCTCAGCATCACAGCAGCGTTTACTGACAGCCTCGCTTGAAGAGGTCCGAGGTGCCAATGCAGGTGTTAACAACACGTGGGTTGGAGCGGTTCCGCCGGCGCGGGCAGCTCGTCCGGTGCTCGGCACCCGGCGTCCGTGGCGGCGGCGTCTCGCTGAGAGAGGGCGTCACGTGGGCTCCGCGGAGAGGGAGGCCGGGCGGCGCCCTATGCGGCGCGAGCCGCGATGTCACGCTATCGCGTCGGCTTGAGAGTAGGCCTTATCTCGTCGCTTCGCTCTCAGGCGTCGCTATGAGGCTTGAGGGCCGCGCTTGAGCTTGAGCTTATGTTCCCTACCTCAAATTACAGGTACGGATACTTCTTCTGCCTTTAAGGACACTGTCAGTGAAGAAAAACAAGTATCTCAGCTGTAGTCACATCGAGACGGGCGCACAACGCCAGCGCCGTGCAAACACAAGACAGCGAGCGGCCGACACGTGGCGGTTGACGGGGTACACAACGGCAAACGCACAAAAACAAAGCTGGTGTACCTCTCTTCCAGATGATCGATCAGAAACGCACAATTCACCGACCCCTCACCTCGCCCGGGCCATGCCCGCAACCAGCTCCTCCATGTCCGCGCCGAGATCTGCGGTTCCACCGCCCCCGCCGCCCTCTGCCCCCCCGGCCCCACCCCCGCCCGCTCCCCCGTGCTCATCCCCCACGTCCCCGCTGTACGCCCAGCTCTTCTGCTGCTCCCCCCGTCGGTGTTCCCCCCTCAGGGGCTGGTTTAGGTAGATGTCGTCGTACTCTCGCCGCAGGCTGCTGTGGCTGATGAGGTCGTCGTCGAGCGGGTTCGACCTTCCGTCCACGCTCCCCGCCCCCGCCGCCCCGCTTTTGCCGCCGGCGACATGGCCGCCTCCTCGGCCGCCCCGTTCTCCCGCCGTTTCTCCCGACAGAGCGCTAGCAGCGGCGGCGGCGGCCATGCCTTCCCGCATGGCCGTCTCACGTGCCACGCGCAGCGCGCTCGCCTGCTTGGCGCTCACGTGCGCGGCCGCCACTTCTGCCGCCGCAGCGGCCGGCTGCTGCTGCTGCTGCTGCTGCTGCTGAGGGTCAGGAAACGACGCCGACGACCTCGCGTACGGCTGGTAGAGGGCCGCCGCCGCCGCCGCAGCTGCCGCGGCCACCGACGATACCGCCGCCGCCGTCCCGACGCCACCGCCCGTGCCACCGTTGATTGCGTCCATCTCGATGTCGCCCGACCTCCTCGCACCGCCCCCAATGCGCCCGCTATCGTGACGGTGCTTCAGCTTGCTTCTGCTGCCGGACTGCGAAGAAAAACCCCGCGTCCCCCCGCCCCCGCGATGGCCCGCGGCTCCCTCCTCGTGCTGAAGCTCTCGCCGGGGATCGACGCCCCCACCCACCGCGTCTCCGCGATCACCTCCCCCGCCTCCTTGAGAATCCCTGCGGCCGTCCCGACCACNCTCCCCCCCCTCCTCCTCCTCCTCCTCCACTTCCTCCTTGTCAGTCTCCGCAACAACGCCGCCGCAAGCCGCCGCCCCCGCAGCGGCAGCACCACCAACTTTCCCGACACCCCTCCGCCGCCCAATACCCCCCCCGAATGGTGGCGGCGGGGACGGTGGCGGCGGGGACGGTGGCGGTGGGGGCCTGCCGCCGCCCCCGCCCACGCCGACGAGGAAGTCTTCAGGGTCGAAGGCGGGGGGCGGCGCCGAGGAGGCCTGCTGTAGCATTTGGATGAGCTTCTGCTGGTCCATGCAGATCTGGGTGGAGGCCGCCAAGGAGGCCTTCATGCCCTGGTGTTCCTGCTCGCGGTAGGATAAGGCCATACGACAAGAGACAACGACGAAACAAGGAAGTCGGTTCAGCAACGAACACGTACCGTAAGAAACTCGTGCGCGTGGTGCGCGCTTGCTAGATAAGTATACACTTGTTGAATGCATAGGAAATGCAAGGAACGCGTGTGCGTGGTGTGTGCGCTTCCAACAGACACTTTTACACGCCGCCGAGAGCAAGATGCAGCGGTAAACAAAGGTGCACGGCTGACGTTTGGAGAGACGGGCCGGCCCTTGATCACGTCCATGCAAAAAGAAGAAATTGCCACTGGTTGCAGACACACAGGATGTATTCGAGAAGGGCCTTCACGATGGTGGTCCGACTACATAGGGAGAACGACAAAACACACCAGGAGGACAGAGAGAAAGGAGAACCCGTATTCCACCATACCCTGGAAAAATCGTACCACACAAAATAAGAACGGCTGACGACAAAGACAGGCCCGCAAAACAGCCCCCCCCCCCATCGGTACCCCCCCGGTGTTTGCCATCGGGGTTGGGTTTTCGTCGCTTGGCAACGACGTTGTAAAACAAGCCGCCCCCCCCTCCCTCGGTGTTTGCCATCGGGGTTG